CTCGCCGGGGCGGTCCCGGTTGCACTTTTTCTTCAGCGCTGGGATGCGGCGGGGTTTGTCCCCGAGCCCTCCCCAGGCCCGGCGCGGCAGCGGGCGGCCCTTGTGAGGCGCCGAACGGGTTCCGGGAGCCGGAGCCCGAGTGATGTGCGGCTCCGGGCTGAGGGCTGCTTGCGGGAGGAGAGGATTTGTCGCATGATAGTCATGGCCGCCCAGAGACGGCTCGCATGCTGCTTTAATCCCCCGGAGCGACTTGAGGGTCCGGAGCCCGCTCCTGCCCGTGCCTGCGTGTCGCAGCTGGGCCCGCCGCACGTGGCCCCGGGCCGGAGCCCCGCCGGTGAGCAGCCGGTGAGCAACCGGGAAGCAGCCGGGAAGCAACCGGGAAGCAGCCGGGAAGCGGGCAAGGGCCGGGAGCGCCCGCCTCAGTTCTCTGCCTCCTGCCTCTGCCCAGTCACCTTCACGCTGGTGGGCAGAATGGGCTCCCCCGTAGCCAGGCCGGTACCTGTTAGGCGTGGGCTCTGGTCCCACGCGTGCCCGCAGCGCCCTTTCCTTGGGTGTCCACAGCAGCCGTGTGGGGAAAGTGATGTGCAGCCGTAATGCATGTGGCCCGGTGCCATGCGCACCCCAGACCGCCCGAAATTTGCTCTGCCTCTTCCCCTGCCTGAGCATACACGGGTTTCCAGCCCAGCCTGATGCTGCCTTTGGTTGTGAGGGGCAGGTGGGTGCAAGGCTGGGGCAGCCCTCGCTGGCCCCGTGGGCGACAGCGGGTGCCCATGGCACTGGCAGTGGGCACGGCAGGCACTGTGGGGTGACAGGGCCATCCTGATGTCTGCGGCTGAGCTCCGAAAGGCTCCTGTTTGCGGCCAGGGGCATCAGACATCCCCTCCCTCCAACCTCCGCTGGGTTTCCAGGCCATTAAACCCAGTGTCTGGCCCTTGGCGTGTCCTGGGTACGGCGGGGGAACTGGGAGTACCCCCAGAGCAGCCCACTGTGGTGGGCTGGAGCAGCTGATGGGCTCGAGCCTGCCCCCTCCCCAGTGAAGCACTTTCTGTATCAGAACAGATGTTTTCCCAGATCTGGCCCCAGCGAGGAAGGAGTGGCTGCCCCGGGGGCCCGTGCGGCTGGGGCTGCCCCACGGCATGCACAGCACATCGCCCAGGATCCTTTCAGCCATTAACTGATTAACCTGCTGCTCCTGGAAGCCTGGGCTGCCTGTATCTAATCAGATGGAGGCCAGGGTTTCCCAAAGGGCCATTTCACCAGAGGCTTTATGCCCACCCCTCTGTCACGAGGAGCCTCCTGGCCTCTTGCAACAGGAGTGGCCACCGAGGAGCCTGAAGCGCCTGATGGGAATGGGAGGCTGCAGAGGGGATGCCCAGAGGTGCGTGTCTCGGCAAGTAGCACCCAGCAGAGAACTGCCTGCTTTGTCCAGCTCCACTTGTCCGGGCATGATTCTGCTGTCATCTGGAGAAACAAGGATTTCCAGGGAAGGGCTGAGGGGCAGCCCTGAAGCCAGGGACTCTCTAGGAGCCTTACATCTCTTGTAAATCCCGGGCTTAAACCCTAGTGAAGCAAGGTGGCCAAGGCTGGAGAGCCAGGGTGAGCGTGCGTGGGAAAGCATCAAGCTTTGCTTTGCAGGAAAGGCAGTGAGGGTGGGAGGGGGGAACGTGGCTTCCCTGGAGCGGGAATGTTTGGCATTTGCTGCACCCCGCCACTCTTCCTCCTTCTCCATGGGGGGTTCTTTGTGGGAGGGCACTGCCTGAGCAGAAGAGAGTTGCTCCACCTCTTTCTGCTGCAGCAGAAGCCAAGCTTGTCCCAGGGGATGCATGTCATCCCTTACAATGAACAGCTTAAACCCCAGCGTGTTGTTGGTCTTGCCTTGGCAGGCTCCCATGCTGTGCTTGCAGCATTTAGATACTGCTCAGCGATGTGGTCGGTGTCTGCGGTGAGGTGGGGATGCCATGGGTCTTCCCAGCTTCCCTGGTTCCTCCGTCGGGCATGCTGGAGACCAAAGGAGTTCCTGTTCTTTGAAGTTTATCTATGATAAGTGGCTTAGTGATGGGTTCAACCTACTTATCGTGCTGGCTCTGCCAAGGAGGGAACAGTTTTGGCTGGTTGTGTCCGCTTGACACTGCTGAAGGGCTTCCCGTGTGCCATGCCCTCCTCTGACTGCAGACCCCGGGGACGGTGAG